TTCTCAGTCAGGTCCTCTGGACACTTTCTTTCTTTTTTTAAAGAAACTGTCCAGAGGACCTGACTGAGAAGGATTGGATTTGACACCTGGATGATTGAGCATGAACTTCATGCATTAGGACACAACTGTATTATTAACGGCATTATTTTGCTTTATTAGTGTTTAGCGTATATCTTAGTTTATATCTTAGATCCTTGTATACTGGTTCTTTTTATACTTGATATTTTTGCTATTTTTGGATGTAACTGGGACCTTGAGTACACAATTTCATTCCACCTCATGTACCACATGTGATGTGAATGACAGTAAATAATCTTGAACAGTTTGTGTTTTAACTCGACATCAAGTATTTACAACGGCGCTCACTCACAGTAACATGTTGTATAATTGAAATATACAGGAAGAAGTAAAGTTAAAATGATAGTACTGCTTCTGTTTACTGTTGTTTCTGCTCCAAGGTTTGAAGAATTATCATTTTAGGCCATTTCTTTTGTAATTGAAGTTTTGACAAGTGTTCGTCTCTCACACACGTTGTTCTTTACCTCAGTTAAATTATGTGCTCAGTTCTTGTCCGTCTTGCTGTCTTGATGCTGTTGACTGTTTTTTGTTTCTGGGTTCAAACCCGCAGCGGTGACTTGTAGAATACGAGGACGTTTGCCTAAATCCAGTACAGAACTAAAGGTGTATGTAAACAGAAAACGAGCGTCTGTGCGGATAGTTGAAGGCAGTACAGGTGGGTTAGTGAAATCACCTTTTTCTTTTAGCGACCCCTGCGTGTAGTCACATCCTGTTTGACAGCTTTTCAGAGCAAAATGATGAACACAGGGTCTGTGTGGCTGCAGGACGTGCCAGAGTCTGAGCAGAGGCATCTGTTGGCTCAACGTCCACACTTTATATTTAGATCAGTGATAATCTCTGACCACAGCGTATTGACATTTGTCTGACCGTCACAGGAACTCACCCAATGTGGGGGAAGCTGCCAGGGCCACAAACTGTCTTCTGCCTGTGCTTCTGGCATTTGTGCACTTTTTGCCTTGTTCGTGGGAATTTATTAACCGTTGGTTATTTCTTTGTTAAAGTATTACATTTTGTCATTAAAATGTGCTTAAGTGTTCAGAGTGTATCCGTTTAATTTGGATCTGTTGCAGTCTCTGTTACGTTGCAGCGGCTGGCCTTCAACATTACACATTTAAAACTATAATAATTTTCATTTAACCCAGAAAACGATCTAAAAACAGCAGTGCTGTCTGTGGGTCGTA